CGAAAACAATTCAAATGCAGCTGCACGTATGCTGTAAAAATGCCATACGGGGAACACCCCCCATGTCTTTTATTTTGAGAAAAAAATCTCTGCTCTGTATATTGTATTCTAATCAAATAAATTAAGATCTTTAAAATTAGAATTATGTAAATGCTAACATCGAAATAATAATTACTAAATAATAATTTCAATACTGTAATTCAAATAAAATAAGAGCCAGACCAAATGATCTTTGCACTTCATATTCCTTTTTTGGCGCGCTTGCTTTTTATTATTTTCCATTTTTCAATCAAATCAACCTATGCATAAGAACCTTCCCATTAAGGTATACTATTTCCTTTGTTAGAAACTTGAAAACATAAAACGCCGAAAGAGGATAAATTGATTTGTATGCTTCATGTAAGGTGACGCTGGTAGAATCGGTCGACGCCGACCAGCCACATAAAGTTGTACGAGACAGAAATTTTTACTAATCGGGACCGTGGTTATGTTCATATGACGATCAAAAAAAGGAAAGGTTATTTGGGTTCACAAATTTTATGTATTTGCCTTAGATTTTTGTTCGGGAATTTAATTTTCTAAAAAAACATAAAACGTGCAGTAGGTCGAAAAAATTTTAAAATTTTTTTTTTTTTGCACATAAATATGTGAATTTCTGACCAGCATATGACATTCCGAATCGCTAAAAACAAACTAGTTTCATGTTTTCCTCATAATGCTTTTTAAATAAAATATTGTGGTACAGTTATTCACATTCACATCAGTCAGAACACTTGACTCTGATGGTCGATATGTAACACAACGAACGAAATTCCGATACAGTACTTCGTTTCTGTAAATTCCACTCAAGCGGAATATTTTTAAACGAATGAGATATATTCCACTATATATCTATGCACATTTGTGATTGTATAGAGGGGAGCTACTAGCCAAAGAAGTGTTCTGCGTTTATATCATGCGTCCAAGATTCATTCCGCAAATTTTTTATAAATACGTAAGCATATGCCCTGCTAGCTTCTGTATACATTTGAATTTTCATTTCTTTCTTTTTAATGAGCACTCGCAGTAAATATACTTATATTGCGTGCGACAAGTGTAGGGGATCTCGTCGCAAATGTGTCCTACTTTCTTGCCCAAGCTGTTTTCTAGGTAATATCGAATGCATATTTGCAAAGGATAACGCCATTTGTAATGGCTGTACCGAAAAACCCAATTTTGACTTTGCATGCGTCAAATTATGTGAATCATGTGATGGGGATCCGGGGGTCTGTATATTTGGGACCAAAAGAAAAGCCGGTAGACACAAAAAGAATGGTACGTGTACGAGAGTCCGTGATATAATACAGTGCTGTAGTACAATACGTAACCAAAAACCTGTACCATCCCTTTACCCTTATACTGTTTGTACTGATTAGGTGTAGAAGAAGAGGAAGAAGATGAGGATGTAGGCAATGAAAAAGAAGGCAGTGAAGAGGTGAATGATGAAAAAGAAATAAGTAACGAAGTAGAGAGGGAAGCAATAATGCTGGAAACATCATTATATTCAACACTCTATGATCCCGTGAATGGCTTTTCCGGAGATGTTAAAAGTACCTCAGAGAATTTTCCTATTCCATATTATACACTATCTGGTGTCTCCTTTCCAGCACCTCATGTTCCTGTGAATGACTTTTCCAACAATGCTACGCTTGGTGATTATTCTTGTAAAAGTATTTCGGAGAATTTGTCTACGTTATCTAATATCACCGTCCCAACACTATATGATCCCGTGAATGACTTTTCCGACAATGTTATACTGGATAATTCTAGCAAAAGTATCTCGCAAAATTTTCCTCTTCCATATTCCACGTTATCTGGTACCTCCTTTTCAACACCTCACGTTCCCGTGAATGGCTTTTCTAACAATGTAACACTTGATGATGATTCCAGTAAAAGTACTTCGGAGATTTTTCCTGGTGGGTATGAGGAGTTTAATATATGGTTACATAGCAAACGCCAACATAGTCAGGGTACACTTAATACCTCATACAAATAGTAGCTCTTGCATTACGTATACAGTATGCAAAGCTATCGGATACGTTTTTGTTATTTGGGTAGTTCAATGTATCATAATAGTCAACAAACATTTCACATAATGGTGGCATCAATAATCGTAGCATAAAGAAATTTAAAACACATTAATCGTTCTTTGTCTTCCATGTGTCTACGAATTTCTGCATAATTGGGGTGCATTTTAAACTTCATCTTTTTATATAATGCTGTGTCGGATTTAAAAATATATATTTGTAAAAAAAAAAAATAAAAAAAATAAAATTGTATAAAAACAAATAAAATTGTTCCCTTCCATGGAAAGTTATATTTATTTTGTTCACCACAACCTAACCTTTGGTACCTATTCTGCATATTTTGAATTATACATAATTTTTGGGTGTGCGCATTGATTGAGGAAAATGATGCATCTTGCGTTAATTTCCCTTATATAATGTAGCATATATGCCTCATATGACTTTCGAGGCTCGTTCAAAATTGAAAATGAATACGCATATACAGCCCATTTTTGACAAAATACTAACGTTATACAGTGTGAGTCAAAATTATTGGAAAAAATTTTTTATTAATAAACTTTACAACTATCAAAGCAATTTAGACGAG